GGGGGAAATAACAGCACTAATACATTTCTCAAACTGGCTAAATGTTAAAACGGCTGATACTGTTTGCAGGTATCGATGTAATGATTCAGTCAGCAAGCACGCAAAGACAGGGGCACGTTTTGCACACTTGTAGAATTATATTGGGAGAGAATCTATAGTAATTATGCGTAGGTCCTGATTTTGACCTTTCTCACTCTCTCTTCCTTTTTCCCTCTCTCTTTCTTTCTCCCTTCTCTATTTTTATATCTCTCTCGCTTTCACTCTCATTCTCACTTGTACTGATTTTGAGGGATTTCTCTACCGACTTGCGCAAATCGGTATTTCGGTGTTTTGTCTACAGTTGACTGACTCAAACCCCCCCCCCAAAAAAAACCCCAAAACAAACACAACAACAACCTCACTTACCCCCTCAGCAACAAAACAACAACAAATATACCCCCCCCACACATACATATACACGACACACACGCATATATAAATTCTAAATAAAAACAAAATAAAACCAAAACAACCCCCCACCTCTTGAAAAATAATTTTAAAAAGCACAGCCTGCTAAGATAGGGCATATTCAAAGTATCTCTCACGACACAAATTGCTAAAACGCTCATACCTGTCTTCTGATGAAATATGATGTACTTTCAAGACAAGAATGCTAACGTGACCGTTGTAAATTTAGACCAGCTAGGGGGTGAACGGCTGTGGGTGTAATGTGTGGTCAGGAACCCAAGCGCTTATTTTGGTTTCCTTTGTGTGTCTGTTTCTGTTATTCTTTTTGTTGTGCTAAGGAGATCTGAGTTTCTGCGTGCTTGTGTATGCGTATGAACGGTGTGTATGTGTATGGATGAGGGTGTATGTTTGTGCATGTATGTATATGTGTGTGTGTAAGAGTATATTGGTGTATCTGTTAATGTATAATATGTGTGAGTGTGTGTATGTGGTGAGTGCGTGTGCGTGTCCGTGTGCATGCGTGAGTGCGTGTGTGTATGTGTGTGTGTGTGTGTG